AACCAAGTTAAACGGTAGAATATCTTGATTATTAAGGCTTAGCTCGCCTATCCAACCTCCTCTTTTTAATTTTATTCTCTTTTTTTGTTGCCCCAAAGACACGAAAGAGGCTAAAATAATCGTCATTAAGAAAACTAATTTCATCGCAAGTTTTTGGTATAACGAAAATACGGGTTTTTAAGGCCATTTTAGTATATATGCAACCTTTTTTGAACATTACAAGTCTTAGTGTATAAGCGCAAGCTATGGATGAATTGACCTTGGTAAATAAGTGTATTGAAGGCGACCCCTTAGCGCAGCGTAAGTTGTTTGATATGTATGCCCCTAAGATGCTGGGAGTCTGCTTACGTTACACCAATAGTGTGGAGCAAGCAGAGGATGTATTGCAGGACGGTTTTGTAAAGGTATTTACCAAGCTTTCATTGTATAAAGGAAATGGTTCTTTAGAAGGTTGGGTGAGACGAATTATGGTGAATACATCACTGGATCATATTCGAAAGAACGCAAAGTTTCATCAGAATGTTTCCGTGGATGATGTGAGCTATAAAATGGAATCAGATGCACATATATTGTCTTCCTTGATGGAAGAGGATTTGTTGAAACTGGTGCGTGAAATGCCGGATGGATATCGAACAGTGTTTAACATGTTTGCCATCGAAGGATATTCACACAAGGAAATCGCTAAGAAATTGGACATCACAGAAAATACATCCAAATCACAGTATTCCAGGGCAAAAGCATATTTAAGAACGAAAGTAGAAGCATTGAACATTGGAAGGTAAAGACGAAATAAAAGAATTGTTTTCTCAGAAACTGGGAAACTACGAAGCAAAGGTGAATCCTGAGTTATGGGGAAACATTGCTTCACAAATTGGTACCGCTGCAACCACTACTGCAGCTAGTACCGGTTTGTCTGTATTGTCTAAATGGCTTATCGGTGTTGGTATTTCAACAGCGGTTGTTACAGCGACAGTCGTAACGATTAACATGACATCTTCTGATACTCCAGAGGCGAAGAAACCATTGGTGACAGAAAATCAAATGGTTGATCCAGTAAAAGAAGTAGAAGGGGAGAATGTTACTGTTCCCGTTTCAGCGGAAGGAACTTCAGTGAATCCTACAACGAATGACAAAGAAAATTCTACAGCTCAGGAAACAACTGATATTGTGAATAACGAAGGATCTGAAGAGCCAACTACGAACAATTCTCAGCTACCTGTAAATACAGAAAGAGAAGGTTTGGTGAATCAGGATAATTCACTTCTTCCAAATCCAATAACACCTAAGGAAACGAAAGAACCGATTTCGAACGGTGAACCAATAGTTACCGAGGGAGAAGGAAAAGAAGAAACGACTCCTGCAACGAATGTTAACGAAGGAGAGCAAAAGCAACCAGAGAATGTGATCCAGGAAGAAGA